TAATCACATTTTATACTGTTTTCTATTAAACTACATTTAGCTAATATTCTTATACAAAATTACAATTAGAAGAGAAAGATTTATGGTAAATTTTAACACTAGGGCTTTTTTGCAACAATTTTAGGTCCTGGACTGAACAACAGAACTTCTTCCCAGAGAAACAGCCTACTTATTATTCCACTGTGAAACAAGAATATATGTTTTATCCATGCAAATGCATGATGTCACTTCACTTATTCATAGAAAAAAGTTTAATAAGCATGACCTAGTGAACTAGGTGGACACAATAAGGCAAGAAGAAAATAAAAAGATATAAGAAGTGGAAAATAGGATTCAGGTGATCGTCTAGTACTGTGTTTCCCAAACTCAGGTTACTCATGTACCTCTATTATAGTGTGTGCCTCATATTTGTTCCACCTACATTATTATTTAGTATTTGTCAATGAACTAATTTTTCAACCATTGGTAATATTATGTATGGTACTGTTGGAAGGTTTGATGTGCTTGTTAAATTTTTGTTACTAATTACATGTTAAAGTAAAGAAAGAATGGAGGAATATAGTATAAAAAAGGGGTGATCTGGGCAGACTAGATTAGTAATCAAAGACTCCATTAAAGCAAAGCCTGAACTAGAACTTGAAACACATTTGCATTATTAAGTAGAGCGAGAGGTATTTTAGGAAAAGGAAACAAACTACACAAAGATTGAATCAGATATGGTCAAAATATTTTAAACTGTCAAAAAACCCAAACTAGCTGTCCAGTTACAAGCAGGAGCCACAGCTCGCTTCTGAAAGATCAACGTAAAAAAAGAGTATAACAAGTAATACGCATCATGTTGAAAGAAAGCTCAGATACCCATAAATAAAATTTTGGGGGTGGGGTTTCCTTTTTTTAATTTAAATTCACTTAATTAACATATACTGTATTATTAGTTTCAGAGGTAGCGTTCAGTGATTCATCAGTTGCATAGAACACCCAGTGCTCATTACCTCATGTGCCCTCCTTCGTGCCCATCACCCAGTTACCCCACCCTCCCACCCACCTCCCCTCCAGCAACCCTCAGTTTGTTTCCTGTGCTTAGAGTCTCTTATGGTTTGTCTCCCTCTCTGATTTCATCTTGTTTTATTTTTCCAAGTTTTGCTTCTTTTACTAACCAGAATCATGCTGTATGGTTCTTTGATGTGCTTGTTGGAGATGTTCTCAGCCTAGCACACTCCTTTTATCCATTCTACATTCCACAGAATTAGTGTCACTGTTTGGGTTGCTTCATTCTGCTGTTATAATTATGCCCACTTTTGTACACAAACTTGAGCACCGGGGCTGGAACTTGAGGGGAAGAGTGCCAGTTTGAGCCCTTGGCAATCTGAGCTGAAGGTGTGTTGACTTGGCATTGAGCAGGTGGCAGGCCGTGCATGCTGACTCGGGCAAGAGGGCGGCTGGACTGTGACTTTGGGACCCAAAGGCAGATGGCATCGTGTATGACAGGGATGTGGCTGGTTTTGCTTTTAACTTTTATTTTTCTGGGAAACTCTCTCTCTCCTTCTATTCTAAATGGAAGCCTTGCTGGATAGAGTATTCTTGGCTGTAGAGTTTTTCCTTTTAGCACTTGGAATTTATCATGCTGCTCCCTTCTGGCCTGCAGAGTTTCTGCTGAAAAACCCACTGATAGCCAAATGGGGTTTCCCTTGTATGTCACTGCTTTCCTTTGTAACACTACAAATAAAATATTTTTAAAGAATCTCCTGTGGAATTCACAGTACTGATGACCAGACATACTTTGCTCATCAAAACTTTTTGGGGAGCCATATTAATAAAACTACTTAAAATATTATTTTAGGGAAAATACTATGAGTTTTAACAAAATGCTGAGATAAAGTTCAGTAGCTTAGCATCATGGGAGCCATTTAAGGAACTATAATAATAAAATTCAGTGTTACTAAAAAAAAAAACTTGTATGAAACAAACATAAATATGCTCAAAAAATGGGAGTGAAAAACCTGTTTTAGTGATATTAAACTTGATCTGATGAGCTATTATCTTATGCCAACCTTCACAAATTAAAATTTGGTTTTAAATACCACTCTCTTTAAAATATCAAAATAATGAAGTTTAAAATTTTGTACTTACCTCTATTAAGTAATTTTGGCTTCCATACATGACATATTGGGGAGCAAGACTATAAATCATGTAGCTGGTGTGAAGGACAATAAGCAGAAGTATCATGCAAAGAAATAAGAGTGCCTGGGGCCTGGTTCTACCTCTTCTAATTTTATATAGCTGGAAAGAAAAAAGTAACAATATTTCAGCAATATGCTTTATTTGTAAGGCACTAAGTTCTGCTTGTGTGTTAGAGGTAATGAATACAGTTCAACCAACCATTTCTTTTTCTAAAATAAATATTAAGAATTCTTAATCATTTCAAATGATTATGACAATGACAGACTCTGTAAAGCTTTTAGTTTTACATTTATGGTTATTTTAAAATCACAGCAAAGCATCTATATTCAAAGGATTCTATAAATGATCCATGAAAATCTCAAGACCTAGAGAATATATTATATGTTAGTATTCACCTGGTTTGCTTCCAGACAAATCTTCTAAATTTATTATGTAATAGCATCTGTTAGAAGTTTATAGAGCTAAGAAGAATTATGAACAACCACTAATGCTACCTAAAGATTAGAGGAATGAGTTTAAACTACAAGTATTACTAATATATTTGTGGTTTTACATAATATTACTACACAAGAACAGACATGTCATGCATTTATAAATACTCATTTCTGTGAGATACTCATGACATCCTCATATTATACTCTGTTATAAATTCTAGTTTATCATAATTTATATTAATCTGACTGTAAATACTTTCATATATATTTATACTAAAGGGAAACTAAAATGTGATAATAAATACAATAAGCCAGAGGACTTGCTTCATTTCAATGGCAGAGCACATTTGTATTTTAGCAACTAAGAAATCACTACCCTGTTTTATTAACAGATTTTAGTACAACAGAGAGTAAAAGAACTATCCAAATCTGGATAGGATGACAATATGAACACCTAAAAATTGAGATTTCCCAGTTTCCCTTACATCTAGTTGTAGCTAACAGTGATAAAATATTAAACATCAAAAGGAAAGAAGTCTGCTGCAGACTTTTGGGAAAATGTTGCTTTATTGATAATAAGTATTTTTTTAATGGAACATGAACAGGATAAATGAAGCTGTAGCAGCCATATTACAATCATGAGGGAGAAGCCAAGAGCATTACAGAGATATTGGACTTGACATTTTTGAGGTACAAAGCAATGCTAGATTTTTAAAAATTTTCACAGCAAGAAATCTTTTATTAGTTCAAACCACTATTTAACTGAGTTTTCTTTTACTCACACGTGGAAGTAATCTCTACCCGAATTATCTTCATTTTGAAAAAAAAATTTTTTTTAGATTTATTTATTTATTTGAAAGAGATTGAGAGAGAGAGAGCATGAACAGGGGGTAGGAGCAGAAGAAGAGGGAAAAGCAGACTCCCTGCTAAGCAGACAGCCTGATATGGGGCTTGATCCCAGGACCTAGAGATCATGACCTGAGGTTGAAGGCAGATGCTTAGTCGACTGAGCCACCCAGGTGCCCCTTGAAATTCTTAATTTATCTCAAAATGAGTGTAAGAAGAAAATAACCCTTCTCCAATCATACAGCAATTTTAACTTCTAGCAGGAAGGGCCATCTATTGAGCTACAGTGTATTCATTTGTACTTCAATGTGTTTCCACGCAGCCAAACACTAAAGAAAATAATGTAACTTCTAGACCAGGGTTTCTCAACCTTGGCACTATTGACATTTTGGGCTGGTTAAGTCTTTGTTATGAGAGGCTGCTCTGTGCAATCCAGAATGTTTAGCAGAATCTCTGGCCTCTAGCCACTAGACACCAATAGCACCCACTAGTTTTTTGGGTTGTTGTTGTTGTTGTTTTACTGTGGAAGGAGCCGAGATGCCCTTCAACAGATGAATGGATTAAGAAGACGTGGTACATGTATACAATGCACTATTACTCAGCCATCAGAAAGGATGAATACCCACCATTTGCATCGACATGGATGGAACTGGAAGGGATTATGCTAAGTGAAATAAGTCAATCACCGACTAGTTTTAACAACTGAAAATATCTCCAGACACAGCCAAATGTATGCAGGGGGCAAACTTGCCCATTTAAAAACCACCACTTAGGCAAAAAGCACCTTTATGCTAACGTGAAGTGAAAAAGCTAGTACTTCAGGGCGCCTGGGTGGCTCAGTTGTTAAGCGTTTGCCTTCGGCTCAGGTCATGATCCCAGGGTCCTGGGATCGAGCCCTGCATCGGGTTCCCTGCTCAGCGGGAAGCCTGCTTTTCCCTCTCCCACTCCCCCCTGCTTGTGTTCCTGCTCTTGCTATCTCTCTCTCTGTCAAATAAATAAATAAAATATTTAACAAAAAAAAAAGAAAAAGCTAGTGCTTCCTTTTAATATCAGGATATTTACAACTTTTATATTATAAATCTAAGTTAACTTGGAGATGGAGCTTATGTACAAAATGATGAAAAAGATCAAAATAATATTGTTATACTTACTCTAACCCAAAAGAACCATATGCCAATATTTCGAATTCCCGCCATTGAAGTAAAAATAAAGTACATAATAATAATTGTTATAAGAACATAATCAAGAGGAAACACCTGAAAAAAAATAAAATTTAATTTAATGCACAAACAATAGGGGTTCTAGAAGTCATATAAAATTATGAAAATGAAACTTCATTATTCATATTTGACAAATGTTTAAAATATCAGCCTTGATTTTGATAGGCTACTATGATAATACCAAAAAAAAAAAAATCCTCCAAAAAACAATTACTAAATTGTTACAAATTGCTTAGTACCATTATCCTAATAAAAATCCTATAACAAATTAAACTGAAATTACATTTATACATGGAATAAAAGACTTCATTAAAAATTAAAAATAGGAATTGATTGGAAACGTTCATCTTAGGTATTATAATGTATCCCAAATCAAATTATGTATAAGAGTTCAGCAATATATCAATATAATCTTTAAATTGGAAGTGGATTCTTTAAATGTGGAAGTTACACGTAAATGAAGAACCAAATCAGCAGAGGGCACAAGCATATATTGCCAAATATTAATAGTTTGCTAACATAATAATGTGACAGAGTGTGAGAATGTTTGCTGAAGAATAAAATGACTGATTTTTTTTTTTTTTTACTCACTGTTTGTAGTACAGGCAAAAGCATATTCAGTGGATTACTCAGGTTAGCTCCAAAAATTATAAAACCAGAATCTATTCCAGCTGAATGAAGGGCTTTATCCAAACTAAAACAACAACAAAAATTATGTGAATTTATATGTTATACTAGCATATTTTCAATTAACTTAGAAAAAATATCATAAGTTAAGCATGCAGATTGAACAGAGTCAAAGAAAACCATGGGTAACAAATTAAACTCATTTAAATATCTTACAGATACTGTTCAACTGAAATAGAACAAAGAAATAACTGTCTATTATTGCACATTTTTAGTCATTCTTTGAGTTAATGCTGTAGAATACAAGTAAAATATCTAAAGATGAATACGCTACACTAATGGAATCAAGTATGGAAAATGTATAACATCACAGGATGTGTGCTTTAGAAAATATGTATACTACACTTACTTTGACAGGAAGAGAGAAATTATAAACAGCAAAGCAACTAAGATGAAAAATATTCCCCAAATGATCTAAAAGTAAAAAAAAAAAAAATTCATTAAAATACAGTTCTAGAAGTTGATATTAAAAGCACAAAACCGTTACACTCAATATGAATTGCAAGCATGTGACAATGATCTAAATAAAATGATCCAAGATATATTGTAATTTAGTATATAATCCTAGACATTTGTCATCTAAATTTTCATTATGAGACTGTTTGACTGAAAACACATACTCAAGAGACAAAGTATTTAAAAGTCTTCATTAGTAAGTAAACAAATGAGACTCTGCTAGGTCATATAAAAGGTTTATATTCAGTTACAATGAAATATAAACTTCAAAGATAACTGAAAAGTACATTAAGGGGTGCCTGGGTGGCTCAGTCATTAAGC